TGACTGACAAGAAGCTGTCAAAACATTGGCTTGCCTTCCAAACCAGACCTGAAACCCGCGGCTGTCTTGGAGCCTCGCGCCGCAGTTTTGTTATTCCTTTCCGGGGGCGGCACAGTACCTCTGAAGCTTTGGAGCACAAGACCCCACAAGTTTAGCATTCCGCATCGCAGTTTTCCTTTTGCTGTATTCACTACAGGTAGGTTTTCCTGCTGTTGGCAAGGTTGGTAGTTTGTGTGTTTTCTGACTCCTTGCTTTGCTCATTGGTGTTGCCGATCGCCGCGGCTACACAGTTCCTCAAGATGAGAGACTCCTGTTCAATACACCCCGCCTCTTCAACTACCCGAATCGTCGGATTTCTGTTTATGATGTTCTCAACGCAGGGGGATTGTTTATTGTATTAAGCCCTTCTCCACACCTTATTCAACCCCATAACCACAAACCTATGATCATATGGCCCCTGTCGCGGTAAGCTGCCGGGTTGTCGGTGATGACTAAACGCTTAGCCCAAAGCCCTGGAACCCCAAGCTCGTGGAGGCTAACACCCTAAGCCTTAGGGGTACTTAGATTTTTTTATTTTTGGTTATTATAATCCCTAAGAAACACCTAAAATATTAATTTTTGCTAGGGTTCTAAGTTCAGTATAGAAGCCCCCTAATTACAAGGGCCCTAAAGCCCTAAACCCCACACCCTAAAGCCTAAACCCTCAAACCCTGCACCTAAACCCCAAGCTAGACCTGGTAGAACACCTTTCCCGAGCCTCGACTCTTGACGAGTGCTTCATGACTCGCTGACGGGTTTTTGCTCCTAGGTGTTGAGTTTCGGTTTTCAAGTTTAGGGTAGTTGCGGCTTTAAGGTTTAGGGTTTCGGTTTTAAGGTTCAGGGTTTCGGCTTTGAGGTGTTTGAGGATTGATTTGGGTGCAAGCGTGGTGAAGTACATTGCCGCCCCGCAAGCAAGGATGGCGTTCCGAAGAAGTCCAGTCTCTGCTGGATGTACATATGCAGCGAAGCATTTAAATAGTGGCCAGATGCAAAAGTAGCGATTGAGCCTGCTCCCCTTGTGGCTTCTACTCCCGCACACTTCAACATCGTAATCCCTCCAGCAAGCATTGAACAACACCCACCATAGCCAGAGCAAAAGACGTGTCTTCATGACGCTTCATGACAGGGTGGAGGAGTTACCACGCAGACTAAAGTTCCTGAAGCCCTAATTTGCCCAGGGCGCTTGCATGGCTGACCAGATCTTTTTGACATACGTCCAATTAATGCTGTGAGCCTGTCTTTGGGAATCCCCCCCCACCGACGTTCTAGAGATCATTTTCTGTGGCTGTGTCCATGTTGTAGAGCATAGGTTGCTGAACCCTCCACGATACGCCCCGCAAACAAAGCAGCAGTCTCAGAACCAAGACTGGTAAGGGAACTTTCAGTTCTTCACATCTTTGAGAATGCTACCAGTTCTCTTCCCACTTTTCCGAAACAGTTAGAGTGCTGATTTCCCAGCATAGTCCTTGCAAATCCTTTGCGCCGCCTCAGAAAATGTAGTACATCGGAAACCATATTCCATTGGTTAACGGCTTATGAGAGAAGCTCCGCTCCCACCGCCACCGCCACCGCCACCACCACCACGGTGCACATGATTATCGCCCCTCGGACCGGACCCCCTAAACACCAGCAACCCAACTACCGTCGACTCCAAACTTGTCACCCTAAACAGAGCCCCCTAAACCCTCAACCCTGAACCCCTTAACATCCCTTAAGCAAAGATCCCCATGAAGCGAAGAAACTCGAGGCCAAGAAGTTCTCTCCATGACGCACCTTCTTTTGAGTATCAGCTCCAGCTGCAGGAGTAGGGCTGTTCGGTCTTTTCGGAGGCTTCTCGGGCTCACAGCTTTGGGGTTACGGGTTTATGATTTAGAGGTTTAGGGTTTAGGGCTATTTTGGCGACGGCGTTGCGTAAGGGTGGCTTTTGAGCTTTTTCCCAATTGGAGCCCGATGCCTCCGCCTATGGAGCGCTCTGCCTCCCGAGGAGGACTGAGCATGTTTACATGGACATGGGAAGGGCTAGGTCGCTATAAGGTATACTATAGGCGCCCAAATACTCTATTACCGACACTAATTTTGGGGATTCCTTATTATCATTTTAGTATAGTGGGCCCCGAAACCCTCTGCTAATTAAGTGGGGCCCCTGTATTATATTAGGGTCCGATACGGTTCTACACTTGACTTTGGTTGACGGGGCTGTGTTGGCAGAGTAAGGTACGTTGGGTCTAATGCTATCAATCAAGACCCACAGTGCTTTCCGACCTGCCCCAAAGAAAAGCCGTGACAGACCACCTGCTGCAACTAGGTAACCGCTCATGCATGCTTTGGATAAAGTGGCAATGATAACAACAAAGTTTGATGCGGAGGACCACACTTGTCGGAGATCCCACTAGCCTCAAACCTCATGTCGACGACACGACGCTCTTCAAGAGACCCAAGCTGCGAGCTTCCCGCTCCCAAGCCCCAAAGAATACATCTATTCAAAACATTATAATGCCTTAGTACTAGCACCTCGAGACCTCGAGCACACCAGAAACACCAGACCGTGACACACCGACATCATCGATCTGTGGGGAGAGGGGCAGAATGACGGCAAATTGAGCCTGCGAAGCCCAAAGCCGTTGAACTCCGCCTCCACAGTTCCGAAAACCCGACGTCTCCCCCAAACCCTAAAGCCCTCTACTCCAAACCGTAAAGCCTGTGCAGGTGCAGCGCGCTACGAAGCTTTCCTCTCGGAGCAGCTGCAGCAGTCTCTCGGATCACAGCTATATCCCAAGCCCAAGCCCCAAACCCTATCACGTTTCGTCCTAGCAGGGCGGGAGCAGAAGCCTGTCGCGCTTACAGGTTCGAAATTTGCTTGAAGGTTCATGGCGCCTGGTTTGATTAAGCTCTTTCTGGTTGTGTCTTACCGCAAAACGCCACAGATAGAAGTCGGTTTGAGATGCAGTCAGAGCTTTGCGCACTCGGCGCCGATGTGGTTTGCACCACCGCAAACCATGCGCCCCTCGCATCATGCTCACATGGCACGCCCTGCATCCAACTCTAAACCCTCGCATCGTAGAGCCATGACAGCCTGACATGCTGAACACTGAAGGCCCTTAAGCCGCCAAGACTCAGACCCCGAAATTCCCAAAGCGCCGTGGCGGGCTGGCGCTTGTAAAGCGGTTTAGGTTTCGGGCTGAAGAGGTTCCAGCGCTTTAGAGTAACTTTAGAGGTTTTGGGTTTCGCATCTAGCGCAGTCCTCAACCCCATAATACGTAACATTCTATGGCTTTGGCTATGGCATCATTCGTGTGTCACTTCCACTATATTGAGCCTTTCAACCTTGCTCGAGTATGAACGCAGAGCGCTACCTTCTGAGACATGACACTGCATAAACCCATATGTGGCTGTGAATTCGGTTCAGAGAGCCGGAGTAGGCATTAGGGCTTGAGCTGTGCAAGTGTGGTTTTATCTCATGTCTCTCCCTGTCGTTACCTGTGAGTCCTGTGAGGTTGAAATCCGTGCTTTTATCCCATTATGTCCGCGAGACGAGTCCGCCTGTGAAGCTGGACTGCCCGACCAAGTCGAGGGCTGGTTTATGTTAATGTAGGGGCCTTGCTCATTAGAATGATAGGGCTTTGGGCTCCTGTAATATAAATACCTTGAGGAAACCTAAGGAATAATCTTGGCATATTTAGGCGTCTGTATTATAAATAGGGCTCTGGTCATAGTGTCCTTATGAACCGGGTACTTGGTGAAAAGCATCCACTGCATGTGGGCTGCTTCGGTCAGAGTACTTGTCAGAGCTCCTGAAGCATCTGATCAGGGTGTCTTGGTGATGGTGGTCTAAACTGCAAGGCCCTGCCGACGGTTCCGTGTACGAGCACACAAACCTGAAACTTTTCTGGGCAGCTTGGCCACATCGGGCTAAGAAGCTATGGGTGCGCACCATGACTACTTTACAGAAACCATAGTCTCCCTTCGAGCATGCTTTCCAGTTCTTGGATTCGACAGGACGGTCCACTAGATACCCGAAAAACCCAAACGCTTTGACAGTCTATTGCATTGCCAGGGGCAAGGGCCAACATCTGCGTCTATTGCATCGCCAGGGGCAAAAGCCAAAATGTGCTACAGACTTTGCTGTGGAAAGGAGTTTTCATGAAACACTTCTGTTTGTCCGGTGAAGGATGGCTTGGCTGCGCTAGTAGTTTCACAGTTCCAAGGCATAATATACAGGTCGGAATAATTTGTAGCATCACCCCCTTACTATCCCTACAGTGCGTATATGTATATATATATATACACACATATATATATATATACTTGTATGTACATACATACATGCATACAATAATAAGCCCCAGGACCCTTTCCCATGATTAAAGACCTTCTCCCTTAAACCACTACGCCACTTCTGGGACACATAACGGGAGCCCTTCTCTAATTCAAGGCTGCTATACTTAGCCTCGAGATGCCCCTTCGGTTTCCACAGGAGCTGCCACCGCCACCAGAGGATGCCGGAAAACCAGGCCACACCACGCTCCCCCTCTCCCTTGGTTCAGGGTTTGTAACGTTTGGGTTTGGGTGTGTTTTCTCAAGTGGGTGCTGGTGCTGGTGGTGTTGGTGGTGGTGGCGGTTTGTTCTGAATTATAGCGTTATTCGTGCATAATCTGGACGCCTTAGGGGTTCTCATCGTAAAGCATATAGACATAGTATCAAATACCAAAACCTCGAATCTTTCCTTAAATCTTTAGCATCGAAACGCTGGAGCCCTAAGCTTCAAGATTTTATGAACACCTCACCCCTTTAGACCTGAACTCCTAAACGCTGAAGCCCCCTCGACCCTTAAACTCGTAGCTACACCCCCTCTGAATGCTTGAGCATTCAAAGAGCCCTCCTGATGAATCAATAAATCAGAAAGTTTTGGGGAACCCTGGTGTCAAGGCTACGTCTGGCAGCCACAAAAAGAAGACAGCGAGATGCTTTCCAGGAACACAGAGGAGCTTCTGACCATGTGGCTTGGCAGGGGTGTGTATTTTTCGGGAGTTCAGGATTTGGGATTGTTGGGGTTTGTAGGAGCTCAGCCCCGACTGAAGAACATGCATCATAGTGGGATTAGGATGTCAGGAGGTCTGTCCATCCGTTGTGGTTCGCGCGATTGTGTGGTTCTTAAGATTCGGAGCCCTTCTTGGCAAGAAGGAGTATGAGAATCACAAGCCTGAAGGGCCCCTTGCTTCGCGACAGATACAGGGGAGCCTCAAATGCATGTTTTGCAGGCTGTTGTGATGCGAACTCTTGGGGCCTTGGGGCCTCCATGTGTTGTCGAAGGCCTTATACAGAGTTTAGAAATTTCCGGAAGCGCAATCCCTCACCTCAAAACACTGCAAGTGTGCCCTTTCCAAGACTTGACGGCGACGGCGAGCCCATGAAGTTCTTGGATGACGTGCTCCTTTGACAGACCTCATCAGAATTGTCTTCAGGGCTTTGCGTATTTGGGCTTCGTGCTTAAACCAATATCTTCAGGCTATATGTTCTTGTAAGTTTCTCTTCTGCTAAGAGTGTTGACTTGTAATGCCTCGGGCACAGGGGAAGTCGTTGGGTTTGGGGCCAATATATGTTCGTAGTATTCCCTTACAGTGCCATCCTTGTAGTGTCCCGAAAAGCCCTGGTACGATTATCGAACTCTCGGCTTACTGGGTTTCGTGTTATAGGGTTGCTTCGGGCTTCGTGTTGCAGTAAGGGGCTGCTGGTATTATTTATTGCTGGATTGGGCGTTTAACCGTTTGGTTTAGTTGCTGGAAGCATGCTAGCAAGACCCAATCCGCGTTCAACGTTCACGTGCTCCGAAGCTCTCGAACTGCTTTGGCTCATCGAACCCTGTGGCTTGAAAATTGGAGAAACCCAACATAAACTCTACATGTTGCCTTTCCATCCTTAGCCCGACCCTGCGTAGACCCAGCCAGGCCGGAGGTAAAACCCAAGTCATTGCAGCCCCGAGTCTGCCAAGCTTTCAACGAAGCCGGTCGTCTGTGGATCCAGATGCTGCACACAGTCCTCGGCTGAGGATTGTATACGTCTACCTAATCCCTGACCTTAAGCCGTTTCATGAGGGTCTTCGACAGGGAAGTAGGGCTTTCCACAAAGAGTTACTTCATGCCCCATGCTTCAGGAATGTTACTGAAACTCTGCTGGCTGATTTCCGATCCTACGCACGCCAAAGACCCCCGAGGTGCTGAAGCCCTTGTCTGGCACAGCAAAACCCTGAGCCCTAAACCTTTCTTTCCCGTAAATCACGGCACCCCCCAATCGTCAGAAACCGCAAACCCTGAGCTCTACCTCTAAAGCCATCAGGCTACCACCGATGGACCCGATCGAGCGCTGGGGCGAACTCTACACCGGCTTGGTCGAAAGGGTGCCTTGCCGTGTGCTGCAGAATGAGCTGTCTGAAATTCCCTAAACTTCTACAGTTGTAGATCGTTTTTTGCACAGTAGAGTGGAGCCTCGACTCGAAGATTTTGCAGCGGGCTTGGGGTTTGAGTTTAGGCAAGAAGAATACGTTTGGCCAAGGGTTCTGGGACGATTTTTGGCGCGGGTGGGTTCATTTCGACACGTCGAAACAGAAGAACCCGTGCAACATCCTTACACCGCCAGAAATACCTGACTAGGATCCGGCTGCGTGACTGCCAGGTGATGTTAATGTTGCATGTTGTGTTTTGCAGTGGGGATTGGGCCTGGGGGTATGGACCCTGAACCGTAAATCCCCTTCAAACCCAAGCCAATGATCTACGAATGCTGCTCGGGGCTCGGGGTTCATGTTGGCGACAGGCTGTAAGGTTTCAGTCTTTGAAGGCTACAGGGCTCCCAGGAATCAAAACCTTGGAGGGTTTCGGCTTTCGGGTAAGTCTTTAGCCATACTCAATCATCTAAATCTGACTAGGCCTAGGCTTAAGTGGAAAAGCCCAGATCCAGCACTCCGCACCCTGCGTGCGCAAGCCTACGCCTCGAAGCATATTATATCCAAAAACCCCAGCCGAAGCCCGAAGCCATAGACCGGACGACTTTTATACTGGAGTCAATCTGGTGCACAAATCGGGAATGAACCAAGATACTTCCCTTAGTTTAGTGTACTTTCGGCAACTTTGCCCATCCACCTAAGCCTTATAAACGAGTGCAGACGTCCCCTCAAGTACCGCAAATGCCAGAATATGTATCAATACTAGTCCTCACAGGTCCTCACTATAGCTATAGGTAATTGAGCTTGGCGTTCCTCATTAGATACAGTTATATACTGTAAAAAGTGCTCCAGAACCTCATTCAGATCAGCTCACGCGCAATCGATGGCCAGGTCCCACAGGTGACGAAAGCGCCTGTGGCCCTGGAGTGTCCTGGCCACTCCAGGGGGTGTTTGCGGCTTTGGGTTTAGGGTTTAGGATTTATCGGGTTTCGGGTTCACGGTTTGGGGTTTAGGGTTTGGGGGTTTAGGGTTTTGGGGTCTAGAGTCTAGGGCTTAGGAGGTTCTCTCCAGTCATGGTTGAGGGTCTAGGGTTTAGGGAATAGGGTCTTAATATCGCTTTACCAGAAGTCCCTGATTCAGTATCCCTACCACAAGCTCAGCAATACTCCATAATTAGTTGAGTTCGCGGTCTCGGGCTTCGGGTTTTCGGAGACCCATGGAGACCCCAAGCCCCAAATTCTAAACCAAACACTGCTTACGGTTATGGGGCCAATCCGAATTCTAAGCTCACCACCACCTTGAACTTGCAACCGAGCGAACGTTTGACGTTGACTAATAACCAAACTAAGGTTAAATCTCCTGTCCTCTTGGGCAGCCAAGCTCAAGGAAAAGGTCCCATCGAAGACGCGGAACTTTGCTACGCCGCCGGGCATGAGCCAGTAGGCCAGTAGGAGTTCGAGCAATGCCGGGCTTAGGGGTCTACTCCTACTCCGAAGAAGTTCAATTTCAACCCCAAACCATGAACCCATGAACCCTAAGCCCTTCATCCCTAACCCTCAAAATGAAGACCGTCCCTGAAGTCTTGGGCCTTCGTGCCGCCGTTGCAGATTGTTTCGATCTCCACTTTAAGTTTTGTCAAGCTATAGCAACCCATTCTACGATTGAAGGGAGTGTTTGGGATTTAAGGCTTTGGGTTTGTGGGCCTCGAAGGGCTGAGGGCGAATATTGAAATCAGGCCTGCTACAGCGAAGGGGGCGTTCAGGAAAAGGGATGTAGAGTTAGGTCGGTGTTGAGTCTGCAGGTTTAGACTACAAGGTTTTGAATTATCTCCTCTGTTCCTCTTCTGACCCGTTCAGCCACGTGAACAGTTCTCTCGAGACTTGATCATTTCGTAACTGAGCAGGTCTTCCTTTGATGTTTCAGGTTGTTAACACCAAAGCTCCTGAGCCCTACGCCCTGCGTGCAACCCTCTACGTAGAAGTCGAGAAAGCAGCCTTTGTTGTCTGTACATGCTAAGAACATCTGTCTAATCTTAAAGGCAACCCGGCTAAGCTTTAGTACCCTTACTAGTATGAACCCTGGAAAGCCTGCACACCGAGGATTGGGCAGCCTGGCTGAGACAGGGAATGAGTTTAGTTTAGGCACAGGGTGTGTTGCTTCAGTCTAACCAGATGGGCGAAGTGCCTAATAGCCTGAATATCCTTCATTCATATACCTCGAGACAGCTTCAGGGGCGTTGTTGTCTGAATTGAGCTTTCTGACCCTGGTCTGAAGCGACGTGCTGTCCGTCTGACAGTATGGTTTTTGGTTCTACAGCGTTGGAGATGTACGCCTATTGTTCATCAACCAAGGCAAAGTCTTTGATTTTCAATTGCATACATACTACTCAGCTCCCCGATGCCCTAGCCGAACTAGTAAGGCCTTCTTACACTGATTGAGGAGAGTCTCAGTGCCCTGAACCCCGACTTGGGTTGCCAGCAGAAGTCTCGAGACCCGAAGCTCCAAATCGGAAATCACAAGTAGCTGTCTGGTTCTGGGTTATGGGAGGGTTTGGGGTTTGGGGTTTCTAGAGTTTAGGGTTTGAGGGTTTTTAGAGTTTAGGGGTTTTAGGGTTTAGGGTTTTTGGGGTTTAGGGGTTTGGGCTTAGGGTTTGGGGTTTGACCCCCAAACCCTATGCCCGACAAGCTAAACTGTTTGCAGCTCAAACTATGATGGTAAGCCCTCGTTCGGGGCTATTGCAAAGGTTCAGGAATGCCCGAAAAGGAAAGCTTTACAGCTGCAGCAGTAGACTCTGAGCTTGCGAAGCCGGATCGCCGCTAAACCTTAAAACCCCGAACCCCAAACCCGAACATATTAGAATAGGTTTTGGGCTCCTTTATGGTAGAACTGCAATAAGAAACCCTGAAAAAATGTTTTGGTAATTATTTATGCTCCCCAGATCCCACCAAGCGCAAACGCCCGGAAATCCAGGCCGGGGAGCAGACACTCCCTGGTTTTGGGTGAGCAGCTGAAGGACAGCGAGTCGCGGGTTGTGGGTTTAGGGCAAATTACAGTAGGGTTTCGGAGTTACGTTGTCCAAGGGCTTTGGGCCTAGGGGTCAGGGCTTTAGGGTTCTAATGCTGGACAACGAGGCATGCTGCAAAAAAGGGTTCTAATGTGGTTTGAAAGAGAAGCGAGTGTTGGGAGGTGGGTGAAGGGTTGAAGAGCTTGGGGTTTAGGGTTTAAGAGTTTCGCGTTTCAGATCCAGGGCTTAAGGACTTGGGGTTCAGAGTTCAGGGTGGCGGTTTATCTGGGGCCTAGAGGGTTTGCCCCGGCCCCCAAAATTTCCTTCGTGGGGATTAGCACCGGGAGTCTTCATGCCGGAACGCCCAACCTATTCAGGAGACCGGGCGAATCTCTCCGAACGAAACGTTTACGCCTGAGGCCTCTGAGTGCAAGCAACACCGACTGAGAAACATCTAAGCACCCCAAGCATAAGATGCAAACCCGAGAGTATCCCGATATAAGAGAACCCTAAACTAGGACGCCTCCGCGTAAGCCGCCTACACCTTCATGTCCAACATGAGGACTCCTGGGGCATCTCCCGGTTCATGCTTGAGCCGCACGGAAGCTTGGCTCGGAAGCTTGAGGTTGAGGGGCGATTGGCTGCTTTTCGGGGATTAGGTTTTCTATGGGATTCCGCAAGGCTTGGGAGTCTCTATAAATTTTGAGTTCTATTCTGGGCTGTTCCGGGTGGTTAGATGATCTGTTAGTGTCCAGGAGTTTTTGTTTAAGTGCCCTTCCTTCATGTCTGAGCCCTGCAACCATGCTTCGAGGCAGTGCACACCTTCGTGCAGGAATTGGGGTCAAACTCCTTCTCCGCTAGTCAGTAGTCATTGACATATCCCAAATGCTGATCATGATGCTCGAGACCCGAAAGGGTTTAGGGTTTTGAGTATTCATGACAATGTTCATGCATCTGTCCCTGTGACAGACTGAGACCATCGTCGTGAAGGCAGGCCATCGTACTAGTTGAACCTCCTTGTTATTCCAATCTTCCTACACCGTAAACCCTAAACCCTAGCGATCTGATCACTGCCGTACTACCCGGCAGTCCAGACCAGGAAACGTGCGGATGGCCTGGAACCTCCTTGGCATTCTCGACTCTTGATGGAAGCATTGAGGGCAAGCTTCGGATCTAAGATATTACTGCCTTCGGGTTTGACACACGACCCCGGCTACAGCTGCTGCTGCTGCTGCCAGTAGCACAGCTACTTGTACTGCGACTGCTGCTTGTCCCGCTCCTGCTTCTGGTGCTGCTGGTAGTACCACTACTACTCGTCCTACTTCCTCTTCTAAACTGTTCTTCCTACGACGACGACGACGACGGCCACTGCTACTACTGCTGCTACTAATACTACTGCTACTACTACTACTACTACTACTACTACTAATAATAATAATGATAATAATAATAATAACAATAAAAATAATAATAATAATAATAATAATAATAATAATAACAATAATAATAATGATAATAATAATAATAATAATAATAATAATAATAATAATAATAATGTTTGAGCCGTTGCTGCCGTTGCTGATGGGGTTTATGCCTTCTCACACGTTGCTTTTCCGGACCTCAAAACCACCGAGTTCTACACGTTTCGGGTTCCTCAACCCATTCAGATCTTGGTGGCTAGAGATGTGGCCATGCTATCTAACTTCCACATCCTAACATCTACCCAAGCCCTGAACCGTGAGACCTCAAAACTGTACTCTCAACCGACTATCTATTGCGGCATGTCGTCTCTGTTGTAGATCATCACGTCTTGTCTTGTTCAAGCTCGTTTGGACGAGCTGTTGTAGTTAACATTCAGGAGCCGCGGACGTCAGGTCTTCCGGCTAGATGGAACCGAGCACACTGCTATACCTTTGTTTCTGCCACTTCCACATGCGTTGTAGCGCAGTTAGTTCTTTGTTTGTGCTACTTCCACAGGCGTTGTAGCCTCTGGGCTCTATGCAGCTGTCCGTCTTCCTTAGTTTGTCTCACTTTTAGATCACCAATATGTCGCAGTCAGGGTTTAGTGGTAGGGTTCACTCGACGATCTGGCTGGGAGACAGGTCCTCAAAGCCATGAGGAGCCCCGAAGGCACATCTCCATCCCAAGCTGTTTTTTTTTGCCCCCATGATAACCCCTACGACCTGATGAGCACTGTCATGTATGATATTATGGCTATAGCATAATCATAATATAGCTATAATACACTATGTCTTTGATCCTTGAACCGTAAACCCAGAATCCTCTCGGCCCTAAACCCTAAACGGACGACGGGGCAGCCAGCAAGCCGAGGCCATCTGCCGCGCTCTCAGTTCGGCTAGTGGCATCGAATGCTTGGGTGGGAACGCGAAAGGGACGGACATTGTAGGGTTTAGGGTGTAAAGTTTAGATTTTAAAAGAACCAGTCGTACATACTTTCGATTGGGAGTCCCTGTATAGCTGTAACATCGTGGTCACAAGGACTTTATAGCTTGTCCCGATGACTATGTCAGTTCATGTGGCTGGTTCTGAACCCTGTCGGGAGTTTCAGAGAGTAAGACCTCCTGTTTAGTCTACGAACTCCGGATAGCTGACTGCAAAGGCCTCCGCTTGACAGTGATGGATCCCCCGCCCTCAAGCGAAATATTTACTCGCTCTACGATGTGTTTTTCAATTCAAGGGGGTAGTTTCGCATGGAAGTGTTCAGGGTCGGGCTTCTAAGTTTAACGGTGGACGAGGTTTCCAGGACGTATAGTGCTGAAGCGAAAGTAAATCAACGAGCAGAACTTAAAAATCTGAGGGTTTTGCTCCCAGCTCTCGTAGTCGCTTTAGAACTTGTAAAAGATCGAATAACCCCGTAAGTTATGAGCCTCTAGCTTTCTTCATTCTGCAGCAGCTAACCCAAAGTCCTAAAGAATAAACTCCCAAGACCAAAAGACAACCCTAAAATTCTACTCTGAACCCTAAACCAAAGCCTCTGAGTCCATGATGCCCTTAAAGCCCCGCCCCTCAGTCGCAACAGTTGTGAAAGCCGAAGCCTGCAAGCTTTAGAGTTTTCTGCTTCGGGCCAGCTTCGGCGAATCCTTGCAAAAACTTGAAAGGCGGTTCTATTGCAGGAAGTGCCCTTAAAGGAACCTTGGTAGCACCATGTAGCACCCTTACACGACCCGTATGGCCGTATGGAAGGCCCGAAACGAACCCCGATAGGATTGTGCCTCGCAGGTTGGGATCTCATCTTCATCCCGTTGCAAATGTTTGCATCTGGGCTCTGCTATGGAATGCTTTCGACAGGCTCTAGGGCTTCGGTTGCCTTTGCTTGAGCATAAGCCTGTGTTGAGGGCTTCGGGTTTCTTCAGTTCTGGTTCAGTCCCGGGTTCAGAGTTTAGGCCCAATTGGTGAAGTGAACGGCTGTCGCGGCCAACTCGCAACGTAGGTTTCCTTGGATCGTCGCACAATCCAGGCCGAAGTGCCAGCTTCATGAGGGTTTGGTTCTTGAAGCCCGAGGCTGTGTACTCTTGTTGAGCAAATCTGGGTTTAGGGAAGGGGCAGAAGCTGCCGAACCCGAAGCCTTTAGGCGGCGATTCGTAAAATGAAGGGTTCCAACCCAACAACTTTGACTCCTGTATGTAGGGTATAGACATTACTGCTGTCTTTTTCAAGGGCGGTGAACAGGTACGAAAAGAAGAGCCATCTCACTGCAGATCAACCGATGCAGGAGCACCGTTCAAACAATATTTGGAGTGGACTGTTTGTGTTTATGATTTTTATGGGGAGCCTATACCAAACCCAAATCTGAAACCCTTAGTCCTAAACCGTTTTCAGATCGTGGGTATGCAGGGCCAAAAGCTGTAAGGTTAAGTTACATCTCAGGACGGAAAGCCAAGATCTGTCAGTGTTCCTATGGTCTCGAGACGGCCCCGGCTAGCTTCCTCGCAGTAGCAGCTGAAATGTGTACAATATAGGGCCCTGAATAGTAGCCCTTTGATAGTCTTGCTTGGGTTAATGCTTGTCGTAGGGCTTTGCCATTTTTTGTTGACTCTCACGTCGAAGCAGCAATGGACAGAGATAGCGGGCAACAAAAAGCTCTGAGAGGCTCCCAGGTAAGGATAGAACGGCCCAGCAGAGATCCTCAACTCCCAAACCCAAAGCCCGGAGCAATGACATCATAAACCGCCCGATACTGTAAAGTTCGAACCAAGGACATGGGTGCCAATATGCAGGTCATACTCGACGTGCCTCGTCGTCTCAGCTCGCCCCGATCGCGATTGACCGCAACCCTTCGTCCCAAGAGGCCTTCAACCCCAAATCCCCAGATGTTCAGGCCTCAGCTCTTAAAGTGACCCAATTTATCGCAGACCCTTCAACACTGGACCCCTAGAATTATAAAGTAAGAGGCAGCATGGGGAAGCCTCCAAGTCTGCTTTCACGGAGCACTCCTTTGTGCCCTTTTTGTTCGGGCCCGTGGTGTAGCAGCAAAGGGTCCTAAGATGAGCTTGAAGAATAAGGCGGCCCGGGACCCCTAAAGCTCGAAACGCCCTTAAACCGTTAAAGACACTATCAACGCTACAACCACTTCTGTTGGTGCTAGTTTCTAGGCCTCAACCGTTGCCAGCACCATTTCCCAGAGTGCCTAATATAGATATTGCATAGTCTTCCCGAAAACCCCATGTTCCAGTTCTTAAGGCCCCGACAGTGTCCGTTCTGCTCAAGCAAAACCATCTGCCCTCTGAAGCCTTCTTGGGTTTGGTTTGTAGGGTTTTCAGTCCTAACTGGCGGAAGAGCAGCAAACTACCAGGCGTCCTTGCAAGCAAGCCCGCAGCAAGAAAGGTTTTAGAGTTCAGGGTTTCTGTTTTTAGGGATTGTTACAATACGTATACAAGGATCTTGCTACTTAGTGTTTGAGTCGGGGCCAGGGCGGATACATGGATGCGGAGCATGTTATGTCCCTTGCTACGGACCGTGACCTTTCGGGTTTAGCAGCCATCAGTCGTACTGAGAGCAGCTCATCTGAGGTCATGTCTTACATCGTTTTCGCATACTGGCTCATGGATGTCCCAGCGAGTCTTCTCACAGGCCGATCCAGCGGAGCACTTGCGACCAAAGCCCTGAACACAACCAAACCCCTAAGGTCTCGTAAACCCTTAGATTGGAACCCTGCGCACGAGGGCAGAAGCCACTCCAAAGTCCCGAACTCCCAAGGCTCCATTGGACCCTAGACCCTTTGAGCCAAGCCCGAATTTTCGCGGCCCGATTTCTTGACGTCTGGCAGTTATGGCGATGTTGAGGGTTGGGTGAATTCCCATTGTAGTTTGCTGTCCTAGGAGGGAAAAGGCCTAGCACATGTTGAGGCGCAAGTGCAGCATGGCACAGAGACCCCATTCATCCCTCAATCAAGAGTCTCTTCCGCTGGATCCCTGCTACATTTTGGGGAATTCCCGGTCATTACCGGCACTGGGCCATGGTGTTCGGGTACTACTTGTGGTATCAGTATGCCCCAAGCCCCAACCAGTTCACACACGCAGTCTTTGCAAGACAGTGGCCACGTCCAGGGCCTCATATCGTACAATTTCTCATCAAGCGACGCTTTAGCTTCAGGCTCCAGGTTATTTGCCATGTACATGGTGGTGAGAATGCCATGGACCTCAAGAGACACCAGCATCCCAAAACGAAACGGCAAACTAAATGCATCAATCCCGATTCCATCGGCCAGAAGCATTCAACCGTCCGGAGCACCCAGCGCACCCTACGCTGTCAACCATGAGCTCTGCAACCCGTAAGCCAGCGCAAAGACCAACCCACACCCCTCACCCCATCGCTGAAATCATCTTTTTCGGAATCGTCCTAGCAGATGCGAAATAGTGGCCGCATCAGCAACAAAGCTTCTGATACAAATAGCAGCCAAGATAGCTTTCATAGCTATAGTAACTGGTGCCATCAGCGGTAGCATCCATTGTCCGTGAGGCTACGACAGCGGGGGGATCTTGGAGATGCGAGTGATACTTTGCCCACAAGATAAAGTTGCTTCGTGGAGTGCAAGGTTTTGCATTCGAAGTCATCCTTTCGCTTTGTAATGCTGTCAGATGTGAAGGTTTCGGTTTTGATTTTTGTGCAGGGTTAAGGATAGGCATTTCAAGCCCCCAAACCTTGTCTCAGTAGTCGATTCAGTATCCTGTAACCTCCTTCATGGGGCATTGGAATCTCCATACCATCCCGAAGGTTAAGCTTTAGTTCCATTAGCGTACTCCGCAAGTAAGCTATTGGTGTACCGGCATGTGACGCTTACCCCCAGGACTGTCCTTACCTCACCCAGATAATTCAACGAGCAAGGAGAGTTGTCGCGCAGCACTATGCGAAAGGCCGTTAGGGGGATACCACCGTTGAAAATTCAGGGTTTTGCTCATCAGCTGTAGTGTTGGAAATGGGTGGGTCTGGGATTTAGGGTTTCGAGGTTTGGGTGGACTCTGGGTGTAGGGGTTGAGGTTAAGCATGTGTAGTGCTTTCGGAAAAAGTTGACGATCCAGAAAAGCTTCCTGCAGAAAGCCCCAAACCCCACACCTAATGCTGCGAACAATACAATCCCCTTCAGCCGGGATTCCTAGGAGCTTTATTATAGGGATTGATAGGGCTCTAAAACCCAAAACTCTAATTGGGAGGCAGAATTAGGCCCAACTAGCAATGTTCCCGCCTGCAGTTGTAGAACAACACCCTCTCCAAACCCCTATGAGATATCAGTTCTTCAAGGTTCAAGCCTCTATGCTATAAACTTTGGCTGCAAAGGGCTGCTTCAGAAGCACTTTTCGAGCACCTTCTTGCGTTTTGTGGTTGCTTGGATGCCAATACCAATTCTAGACCGTGGCTGTTTTGGACCGGAGGCTAGTTAGGGATCCGTGTTAGTCTAGCAGAGGGTTGGTGAAGCGGTGGGTTATATGGGGGCTTTGGAATGCAAGACCTGCCCGGATGTTCATGCCAGTGGCATGTGATGCCACTCCTGCCAGGCCTTCATTTAAGTACTAGACGAGTGGGCGGCTGGAACAGCAGTCCGTTTCGCCTGCATTATGTAGTCCGATTGCCGACAGAGACGCATCAACTGAACCTTAACTAGCTGTACCACTCAGGCCCTATAAACCCGAAGCCATACGCCTCTAAACCCCATGCGCCCTAAGTTTTAATCGGGAAGCCATCAACTCTAGAGCGCGTTCGGTGTCCGCTTCGTGCGAGTGTGCGGCGGGTCGACAGCGCATTCAGCTTCTATTGGTGCAGGCTGGCTAATTCCCGACATCATCGCAGCTTGGATGTTCGATGCCGTTCTTCACACTGGGCTCTTTCAGGGGTCTGCTTCGGGTTCCCGAAAACTCCCTCGGGTTACTTTGCGCTGCTCACAGGGCCCGGACAAACCTTTCAGACCGGCCTATTGTAGGGCCTTCAACCCTTAACCCTGCCTAAACTGGCCTTAACTCGTGACATGTGCAAAGTGCTCGCTTCCTAGGGGGGGGTTCTGACTTTGGCCGTCGGCCTTCAGAATTTCAGCAGGATGTAGGTGTACATTCTAGTATGCTTGCTCGGTACTACCAGTTCATTTTTTCTGATGATTCATCTGCCCGGGTTAATTCCCAAGTAGCTCAAACCCCAACAATGTGTTGTCGGTGCCCCTCATGGTATCACTTTTGTAATAATAGTATATCTCATCAAAAGACGGAACCGTAAATCCTAGAAGCTAGTCTAGGGGAGCTTGAACACGATGGCAACCCTGGCCCTGAGACTTCTATGAACCCTACATCCTAGGAGCCCTCCGTACGAAGCCTTGTCAGACTACTGTTTTTTGTAAGCCCCTGAATCCCTTCAACCTGCTCTGCGGTGTTTTGAAATCCCTCAAAGCTAAAATCATCTGAAGCGCTGAAGCCTTGCAAAAACCCTCAAGCGCAGAGCCACCATACCTGTTCCCTTACACGGATGGAAAGACGCTTTAATGGAACCCTTTTGCTCATTATCAAAGCATGTTGTTTGTATATTGAGGGCCTTGGAGTATTCCTTGCAGTAAATCCCTCGAAGCCCTTGCAATAGTACTTGTAGTGAAGGCCATGTTTGTTAAACTTACCTTTGGTTAGTAGGGAATGAAGGAATGGGGTAGAAATTACAGCTACTATGACTACCATACTCCCATTCCCTACTACCCAACGGCAAGTATATTCAGGTGTTATGTTTGGTATATTCAGGTGGGAGCTTCCGAAGATTAGGGGTAGCCGGGTAGCCTTGTAATAAGGATCCTACTATTCCGGGTGCTATATGAGGGTCCCCGATTTTCGGAAACTCCCAGGTGTTGAGCCTGGACATTGTCATCTTCATCGTCTTCGGCCTCAGCTCGTCCAGCGAGGGCGACGAACCTCGGGCTTTGCATAGTCGAGGCTTAGGCTGTTGGGGGGTTTCGGTTTAGTTTCGGACGTCAGAGTTTTGGGTTCTGGATGTTGGGCTTTGGGGCTTGGGTTTTGGGGTTGGGGTCATCAGGTTACCCAGCCGTTTGTAGGTGTTTAGGGCTTGTGGGTTCATGGTCGGTCGAGTTCTGGATTCTGCAAAGGGTCTCATAAATTTCCTGTAGGGCTGTAGGCTATAGGGTTTAGGATGCCTTCATGGTCTTGATTTTGGATGGGGTATGTCGATGGAAGATTCAACACACACTTGGTGATCCCAAGCCTACACCTCTGTTTTGCAAACTCCACTTGCGAGTTCTCTCTTCGGTCGTGATTAGGTGCTTCTTAAATGGGATATTTGCGGCTCCAGAAAAGCTGCAGTCCCGGACAGCTCCCGTATGGCACAGCTGTCTTCAAGACTCCAAGTGATCCTAAATCCCCTGATGCTTGGTGACCCGAATTCACCCCGAAATCGTGAACCGAACCCCTGATCCCTGACGCAGAGGTTTTGGAGTTTCAGGATCAGTTTTCTTGATTGAGGCCTACATCGGACAAAGAACCCCCATATCCTCGCCATCAGGACAGCTTACCCTCGCTCCGCATCGCGCGTGCCGCTCGCATGAAAAGCTTGCCGCTGGCCGACTCTTACCTAGACCATCCTAGTCCTAGACTCCTAGACCCTCAATTAGAGTATCTCTCCGTGCTGGCCTTGTTTCAGGGGTTAGTCCAACACTGAGCAACGTTGGAGGATATCTAGGCACTTACAAGACCATGAGCACGGCAATCAGCATGTAGGTAGCTGTCGCTGCAAGACCTCGCAACCCCAACGAAGCAACTTATGGCTCCACGACTACTAATTAAACATCCTTGGATCTTCAGACAGGTGGATTCGGTCAGGCCTCGAGGTTGAGTTTAGGAAAGACCGGGAATGTGGACATGGGAGGGGGTGGCTGAAACCCTTACACATTCTAGCGGGTTTAGGTAAACACCTAACTCCCAAAGCAAAAAACCGCAAGCTAAGCCCTAGACTCTGCACGAAGCACTGAGCCCTCGACCCCAGCAGGGAATTGTGGAAGTCACGCACCAGGCTCTTCGCCTAATCCGCTTCGCACGGCTGCTGCGTCTCCACAAGGTGTGGCATTTGGTGGCCGCTTGGTGAGATTCAAGATCACCCCCCCGCCCCCCCCCACAAGGAGACGTACAGTATTCGTCAGAGCCTCCACCACAAAAAACATCAAAACCTGAGCCCGAAGGCGCTAAAAGGCTGAAACCCTAGGGTTTAAGCGGGACTTGGGGATTGTGGCTTAGGGATTTGGAGGTTTAAGGGTTTTGGTACTGTCGGCAGAAGGCTTCAGGGCTTGAAGATCAAGCGGTCTAAGGGATTCAGCCGTAGGTGTGATAGTTCAGCTCGGAACCGAGGTCGAATAGTGAAGACCCGCAGCCTTGGCCTTGGGAGGGTGAGTAGCCTCCATGGAGCCCTAGCCTGCGAAGTCTCGGAATTTCAGTGAGATGGAAACTTCGCGATTAAAGTCTGCGCCCCCAGGGGTATGAGATGGCAACACCGTACCTTCAGGGCCGAACCCTAAACCGTAAGAAAAGCTGAAAGGACGATCTCCTGGACCGCATGAAAACGGACAGCTTTCTGCTGAGCATCAAGATCATCAGCGCCACAGCTGCAGTTAAGTCCTTTAAGAAGCTTTGGTCCTGAACTCGTTTTCGGGTTCTTGGGGCTTACAGGGTTTATTAGGGCTCAGGCGGTCGGAAGCCTAAAGTTGAAGTTTGGTGTCCTGCTGCAAGCAAAATATTTGCGGGGTCCATTTAGCAGAGTCCAGGGGCATTGCTATCCCTTAGCCTTAGTAGTTGAGTACGTAGCCCTTTGGGGTAGTAGAGATAATTAGTGTAATCTCTCTGCACCCCCGATGTGGACATTTCACCCGCCCTGCCTACAGCTTCGGACAAGTAGATGTGAGATTCTTAAGAGACACAAACTAAGGGAAAGGGTATGATCACAGGAAGGAAATGTGCAAGAGCTTCCGCAGCATCGGCTCTGTGCTTTCAGCTGAAGCTGTTTGCAAGGTCCTTCTAAACAGCACAGAAAGATAGCTTCGAGAGCAGCATATAGCAAGACTGGTGCGAGATTTAAAATTGATACTGACTAACACCGCTTTACCACAAAAGGGGCTGGTAACAGGGGTCCCAACGCTAGGCCTTAAGGAAACGGAGTTTAGAGTCAGGGACGTGGTGGTTTGCAGACCGACCTGCAAGGAGAGAGGTCCGTGAGAAGGGCTTCTGGGGTCCCTTAGAGTTAGAGTTTTCAGCATATCAGAATTCCATGAGGCCTATATATAGACCTGGCAGCTGCTTAAACAAATATGGTTAATGAGCCAAAAGTTCACAGAGCCTTCGTTGAATGATTCATCGCCCACGACATCGAAACTCACAACCCTCAACATTGAACGCCGTACTCCTGAGACTGCTATGGTCGGCGCTACTGTAGTTACCGTACAAGGCAGTTGGGTTAGTTTGAGTCTTACGGCCAAGCCCCTTAATCACTAAAACCTATATATATATGTTCTAAGATTCTAAACCTATACCCAAACTTCATCCGATCCGGCAGGGAGCCTGGCCGTAGTCCTGGCAATCAACCATTACGTCGCCTGCACCTTCCTGGCTTTGGCCTTGCAACTTGGATGAGGCTTTAAGACTGCAGGGTTTAGGTTTGGGATTTTCGTGTTCGTAGGTTATAGCGTGTTAGGGTTCACTGATTCACGGGCGTGAGCGCGTTTTCGCGCAGCGACATGTCGTTGCCGGTCGGGGAGCGAAATTTTGTCATCTAGATTGAAGGGAGTGGTGAGCTCTGACTGGTGGAGGTGGCCGCTTTTAATGTTGACCCCTTGCGCAGCACCTCCTACTACGCAGTCTAATCGTTTATCACCAAATCCAGGACCTCAGCCCCGAGACTAAGCCAGACCCTTACAACACAGGTAAAGCCGCTGTAAAGCTTGCATACACTCTGCACGCGAATTCCCCAAAGAGACGAAGCTGAGGCTCATCGAGGAAGAGAGCATTACTTGGCTCATGCTCGAATCTTGGCGGAACTTAGGCTTTACCGATTAGTCAGCCTTTGTGCATGTCGGACCAGGGCAAGGCGGCATGCATGGTTTGGCTTTAGAGTGTAGGAATAGCGGTGGAGCTTCATGGTTTACGGTCTGTAAGGTTTGAAGGGCAGTTTCCTCTGCGGCTTGCTTTGCTAAACTAGTAACTATAAGAAGGGCTTCCCGCAAACAGCTTTGCGTGGTCTTTATCTGGCCTTAGAGTCGCCCTTGGCATGCCCATACCCCCCACAAGCGCCGCCACGCCATTCGCACAAAGTCCTAGTTCGCAATACCCTACAATCTGAACACATCACCCCAAGTACTTGTACTTGCTGCCGATCAAGGACGGCTATGGAGGTTCTATAAGTACGAGTTTTAACAAGTCTGAGGCCTTGCGCCGAAAAAGCAGCAGCTCTATCTGAAAGGCGGCCACCAACGAAAGTCTATACCATACCACGTCCGTAAGGCATCTGAAAAACCTCACCAGCTTATATTCCGCACACTACACCCTACATCATAGAAAGCCTTGCATCCAAGTCCAACCATAAGTGTTACTATTGCTATACGTGTTGCCTACACAGCCTGCTACGCTTACATCGGCGGACTGAGGCGGATTTGGACCAAGTGCCATTCACGACGCAATACCTCTCTGCCCTGCACTGGCGGCATGCCCAGATTGTAGATTCGACTTTCTGTTGGGGCGCCGGGCTCAACGCCCGTGGTGTAAAGTTTAGTAAAGGGTTTAGGCTCATAGGGCCCAAGGTGCTGCATTGGTCAGAGATTCCGTTTCTGTCAAGGCTTTCCCTGCCCATTCCTTCTGAGACCCCTTTTAAATATTGAATCGGTTTTTCCGAATTTTCCTTATGGCGCATACACAGAGGCCGTACGTGGAGCACTGGGTTTGTGGACGTACATGATGGGGGATTGGGCCTCGGGGCCAGACTCGTTTGACTCAGTGAGTGTACTCGGTGTCTTTTACATGAATCTATATTAACCTGAGATCATACGATGTCTCGGCTTGGTTGCTGGCCCTACTCCTTACGAGGTTTACTTTCTTGCTCAAACGAGATTTACTTTCTTGCTCAAAAGAGCTTTCAAACAAGACAGAGGCCCGAATTGTGTTCCTCTCAAATTGATATGTTTTCTGATACAGCCCTATTCTGTGTGAGGTCGTTGACCCAGTTCATGCCCGCAACCAACAACATCGCACCGCCTCTTCACGAGCACCGAGCGTGGTGTTTGTATGCCAGCATAAGGATAATGGAATATGGGGTTAGGGCTGGGGCGGGCCATGTTTCTGAATCTTCCGGATCCAAACTTACAAGCTTGTTGGAGTTCGTCTTGGTATCTATGTCTTAGATCACGCGTCTTGGCCTGAGTACGTCAGGACGGGTTACAACAAAAATGTTGAAGCGGAAAGCGTGTGGGGTTGGGCTCCCTTGAACAACGGACCTCGCCTTCGGTGCAAAGTTTTGGGTTCAGGCTTTAGATTACGCCGCTTTGGTTTAGGCTTAGGATTTTGGATCTTCTGGAGTTTGAGTTTATCTTGCAGGCGCCTGGGTTGTTGTTCAGCGGATCGTATCTGGGTGACTCCCTCTCTCTCTCTCTCTCTCTGCCTCCCTATCTCTTTCCAACTCCTGCTCTGATGCCGGCTAAATCCTATGCTGCCAGTCCCTACACGCCTCCTGCACTCCTCAGACACGATTGTCTTGGTCGGTGTTGTCTAAGTCAAGTCGCTTCGACTATGCAACCCTCGAGGCTGCATGAGTCGGTCTAAGTATCTGTTTCTCTATCTATCTATTTGCAGCTGTGCTCACACATCTCATTATCCGTGCATATGTTCCAGGCGTAGATGTGCTTCAAAGGCATCCAAAGGCTTGTGTGTGTGTATCAACAACTCGCTCGCTCGCTCGCTCTCTCTCTCTCTCTCTCTCTCTCTCTCTCTCTCTCTCTCTCTCTCTCTCTCTCTCCGTGTCTCTCTCTCTCCGTGTCTCACCCTCTGCCTATCTGTTTCTCCACCAGCTCAGGATGCTGGCCTTCAGGGGTGTGGGATTTGCGGTTTGGGGTCGCGGTTAGGGATTATCAGTGGGTTGGAAACAGGTAAGCCCTCAACCCTCCAACCTGCAACCCTCACCTTACCGTCAACTCAAAACCGGGTGAGTTGTGTTTTTCACTAATATTTCCCGATTGGTATACTTTCAGAGGCCTTAAACCCATGGCCTTCCACCCTCACTAACTGATGTAGGACGCTGGTTAAAACACCCTCCTGCTGAAACGAGTTCAGTAACTAGTAGGGATCCTAGTGTCAAGGCACCCACAGGAAAGGCAACTTATTGATCACGAGATGAAGCCTCACCGTCAGACTTGAGGGTCCGTGTTTCATTTCGCTGGTCCATCCCAGAACCTGGGATTCAGGGCCTAGCAACCGAAAGCTTGATGGTTTAGAGCTCGTAGGGCTGAGGGTAAAGATGCCAAGTAGTTGTAGTTATGTAAGATGTTGTATAAGCTTCAATGCAGGTGAATGAACCCCCACCCAGACTATGCAGCCGTATAGCAGACCGAGGAATAGTGCGTATGAGCGGGTCTTCGCCATCATCGTGGTCCTTATTGGCTTGGCGGTGTTTTCCTCTTTTGTCAGCGGTGTGACGAACACGGTGTGCTGTCTGAGTTGCGGGTTTTAGCTTTCGGTTGGTTCCCGGTTAACGTAACTTGTGCTTTCGAGGCTGTCGCAAGCTGCTTGAAGTCGGTCTTAACAAGGCACCGTGTCAATTCTTGCTGACTGTTGGGAGGTTCTCGACGAAATCGGCTTCCGGGTCTAGGAATGCAGGTTGTGTTCACACGTACTATAAAATACGCTTGATATGCCGCCGGGCCTACTAGGGTTCTTAAAACGTTTTCTCTGGGTGTCGTTCTGGAAAAGCCACCGGAACCCGGGAGCCAAATCCTTCACTGGAAACGGCCCTCCGAAGACCAAAACCCTACATGCAGGGACCGGAATCACTACGAAAGTAGGGTTCAGTACCATTCCTCCATTTTAGTATACTGCACTCCAAATTCTGGTTTTAATTATACAGGCACATTAAGACAGTATATCCTAGGTTCACGTGATTCGGGATCTGAAATTCAATGAAATTCAATACCATGCCTTGGAGTCTGTTTTTTTTGAAGCCCGTCCCCTAAACCCCTGGTCTGAGCATTCTTGGCTGCACATTGCATCCCTGACTCTAAACTCCAAAGTGGCTTTTGATATTCTGGGACAGGCTCCCCTAGAGCCAATCGGGACCGTGGTCGATGTATTTGTTGGCCCTAGTAGTGGAGTAGGTAACCTTTAACCTTTTTTGGGTAGTATAGCCCCTATGTAATCCCTATATACCCAACAAGGTTAGCCTTTAGTTCCCCATGATACCCGATACATAGGTGATTGTTGCGGCTGTCTTTGTCTCTCCTCCTTCAGAACCCTGCAAAATTTTCTGTACTTTTGTATTGTCCCATCCGTGGCAGTGGCAAGACATCCCTAAAGTGCAAATCCCAGCCCCAAGTCCAAGGAAAGGTCATGCCTCAGTTGAAGTGAAGTGCATTAATGCCTGAATCGTCACAGCCATAGCAGCTACAAGCGAAAGATAATTCAATAGAAACGTCAGCATAGCAACAAGAGCAATTGGCAGTCGAAGCAATTGCAAGGTTTGTTACACACACACACATATATATATATATATATATACACACATATGTATATATATATATATATGCATATGTATAAGTTGCTTGATGCACCGCTCTTTCATTGCCGTCATTACCTGCGAACCCTGGGAAGCATGTGCTACAGCATGGGTAGCGCTGGATCTTGCGCAATAGCAACAGCAGCGGTACCGAACCCAAGCTTGCAAATCGTATGGTGCACGAGCTGCCCGAACCTCTCAGGTAAATCAGCTTCGGCAGATGCATGTGGACCACTTCAGGACCGAAACTCGCGTCAAGTCGCACCTCATCTGATTTCCGTCCTAGGGCCTCCGAAAGCCAATCACTATTCCGAGCCTCTGCTGTGGTTTGACACTTCCCGAATCCTCACATGTAACCCCATCTTTGACCATCTTGTTTTCTGGTCAAGGCACCTTTGACCGAATAAGATGTGTGCTACAGTTCAGGGTCTACTTGGAACCCCAATGTACCTGGACCCTCCAATGTATCACGAGGCTCCTGGTTTGGATATAGCTGTTTGGATATGTGCATGTGGGCTTGCATTGTAACCCAAGACACAAGCCTCACAATGCCAGGTTTCCTGGTTGTGGGTTCGGTGTTCGGCTTCGTGTAAGTTCCTTCAGCAGAGGTTCCTCACCCAGAAGTCTATCTCCGTGGATGTCTGGTGCCGAGTGCAGCGCTTCGTGCGATTGCTCCCGGCCTGAACCAAAGACTGTCAAGGTTCAGGGTTTCGGGCAGGATCAATGACTGTGTTCATTGCGCATGCGAGATGGGCAAGGTCTGTTTGCACTGTGAGCAGGGAACTTCCGTCCAATGTGCGACGCTCTACAGCTACAGCACGCCTAAACTCTAGAGGCCAAAGCACAGAAATCGGGATAGACAAAATATGACAACCCCCGGTTTCTCACCAAGCACCAAATCCTGATCAAGCCTTCATTACCCCATAAGATATGTGTAGGAAACACGAAGACCTTCCCAAAACTCTCGGGAGCCCGGTTAGAACTCGCATGTGTGCATATGTATCCCTGTATAACTCTTTAAACATTCCCAGCCCGGGCCGTACAAGCCCCATCCCAAATCTGGGGGTTAGAACATGTACTCCTACACCCTACAACGCCCCATATCATAAAGGCCCTAAGCCCGTCTCGAACCTGAACTCCAATACCAAACTTCAGGCAGGTCGTGCTGGCCAAGAAATCACTCAAGGAGGCGGCGGCTCGGTCGCTCTCAGCTTCTTCTGAGTTTAGGGCGATTAGGGTTGCCAGGCACTCCTTCATAGCTTTGTTCAACCACTTTAAAGGGATAGGGATAGGGTTTAAAGGGCTCAGGGGTTTGGGTTCCAGAAATTAGAGGCCCCAGGCACCTTTGCTGCCTGATTGTTCGTCATTGGAAGCGTGACATCCGAGAGAGACATCCGGCAAGCTCCAGACGCTAACTTCGACCCATTTTTTGAACCCCCCGGGGTCCGAACCATCACCTCTACACCCCTGTCCTGAAGGTGTTGACAGCTCCCTGCATAGAGTCAACCCGAAACCCCCAGACCTCTGGATGGGAAGGCTTTGGCATGTGATTTCTTTGGAAAACAGTGGCTGCCGTCACTGAGGACATCCCTCTTCTGAAGGACCTGCCCTTCAGTTTGCGCGTGAAGCTTCACCAGGAGTCGCCTGGCTTGGCGGTCTACTCCCACTTTCAAGGTCAGGTTTGATTTGTACGGGAGTTCCGACGTCAACCTACAGCGACCTCGTCCTGGTACACAGGATGTGCAATCTTCTCACTTCTGTCAGCTCGGAGTTTTGCGCGGGTATTTCCAGAGGGATCACGGGGTGTAGGGTCAGAGTCCGCGGGGGTGGATTCAGGAGTTGCAACAGTGAAGGATCCTGTCCTGGCCTGAAAACAAGTTGCTCATCCGTAGCCCGAGTTGTCCTATCAATTCTGGTACTGTTCGGATGACGGCTCCTCCAAACTTTATAAAAACTTTAGTGGCATTTTTTATTTGCATCCGGCTTCCTGTGCCCAAGGATCTACATGCCTGTTCTCTTGACCGCCGGATGGCTGACGGAAGAGATGGTGGAGCTACCTGGCTCCGACATCTGGTCATCAACGCGACAGGGTTTGGGATCACATCCTACTGGCTGTAGCTCATAGGAGCATTCGTTGTACAGTTCCTGGCTGCTCCGCTTCTTTAAGTTTCTCAGTCCCATGCCCCTAAACCTACTGAGTAAGCTCAATAAACCTTCGAGACAGCTCCCAGGGCCCCAAAGCCCAGACACTAATATACGGGCCTAAATAATTTCCAATACTATTTCGGGTGGCTCCTTGTTATAAGTATAGTACCATGTGCCTCAAAGCCCTGTTCTCATGTAATTTTCAAGGCCCCCGGGTTAATATTAAACCGTAGATCCTAAACGTGCCCAGGGCTCTGTAAACTCCGACATAACACCCTCAACCCTGAAGCCACACGCGACGAGAACAGAATGGAAGCATGAAGACGAAGACCCCAGACACTGATCCTAACACGCCAAGCCCCACGGCTCTCGAACTTTAAAGCCACCATACGCCCAAACCTTGGACTCTTGAACGAGCCCCAGCCCCTCTTTCCAAGCAGCTCCATCGCTGTCTCATCCGCCAAAAGCTAAGGGCCTGCAGCGCAAGCCTCAAGCACTCAGCAAAACATGCGTCTGTAAACCCAAGGTAAACCCGATGTCTTGAGCCCTGAACTCCAAAACCCGGGAGCACTAACTCCGAAGCTCCTAAACCCTAAAGGGGTGGCACAAAAAGTAGGAGGCCAAAGCCACGAGCCCTAAACCCTAATTCCTACACCCTAAGCATTTCGGACCAGGCTTGACGAGCCCCTGGTTTTGCGGCCTCTTGGGCCGTGCTATAGAGAGTTTGAAAAGGGTTTCAGAGATTCATAAGGCTTGGGGATTGGATGACAGGATTTGGCTTTTTTGTCGACTGGTGGTGTACTGTAGGTTGTAGGGGGTCTATAAGGTTCGGATTTAGGGCTCATGATTCTGGCTTTTTCGGCGGGTCCAGGGCAGGAGGTGGGTTGTTTTCGTGACCTGTTGGGTGTCGAGGGATTGGGCTTGCGAAGTGAGACTACATGTGCACCCCGTGCAGCTTATAGGACGTAATAGACGATGCAACTCCCTTGATTTAGTATACCCGCCCTCCGTATTGCACATAGCTTACTATGTTGCGGAAAAAGGGTGGAAACTAACCAGGATATGTTAAGCCCGACCCTAAACTTACCTACTTACTAGTAGTGTCCCCCACTCCTCACTGTCATGTAGTCGACAAAATGAGCTCAACAGAAAACATAAGCTAACCTACTACGTTGCAGGACAACAAGTTAGACCTTACACCTCTCCGGTTCGCAGCTGGTTTCAAGGCTCTGTGACAAAGTCTTCTCCGAGAAAGTGGCGACAGCAGCCGGGCCACAACATCTATAGTCGAGGGTTTCTGTGTAGGGCTTGGGGCTGCAGGTTCTGAGCGGGAAGGGGGTAAAGAATCAATCAGAATTAGGGTTTGGGGGGGTCATGGCACAGTAACTGCATTCATGATCTAAGGATATTGCTATCTATCATCATGTAAGCTTTGTTTACTTGCATACATATATATATATATACACACATACATGTTGTTGTGGAGAGAGCCCTGCTTTAGGACAAGGACCCTGCATCTGGAGCTTCGAAATCCTTGCATCCTAAAGAGCATTTTTCGAGCAGTACCACAGTGCCCCAAACCGGAGTCGAATCGTTGAAGCCTTGAAGCCCCTATATCAATACAGAACTCGTCAGCCTTGGTTCCTGAACCCTCTTGCCCCGAAGCCTAAGCCAAATTTGCTAGACCTTACAAAACGGAGGGAACCACGTGCCCTTTGAGACCAAGACAGGGCTTTAATGTAACACCCAACCCTACACCCCTTGCCCGTTCAGGAAGCTAAAAGTGTGTTCACCGAAAACATATCGCTACCTGCCAACTTCGAATCCTCGAAGAGGCTGACCACAGCCGCAGAGGGCTTTGGGGTTTAAGGATTCGGGGTTCAGGGTTCACTAACTTTGTATTGTAGTGCCAGGGTCTCCAGGTAACTATCGAGGCATTGCAAACCCCGAGAGGCCCGAGAGACATCGCCTTGCGCTGGACAAACCCAGAAATAGGAACCCTCATGTGACACAGCAACCTCAGCAGAGGGTAGTGCTAGATTTCCTGAGCCAAAAAGCAAAAACATGCACATGGAAACCGCGATCTTTCCGGCAACGGCTTGTCGAAACCCGGCGCCCCAAAGCCAACATAATGGCCCAGGCTCTCCACGAAATCTTCATGGAAGGGGCAGAGTGCACTGAAGCAGTGTGCCTCGGACACAGAGCATGTCATTTTTTTTCGGTTTACACATGCCACTGAGCATCGTAAGGTGCTCAAACAGGGCTAGTCTTTCAGCATGTTCCCTTTGCCGATCCTGCCTCCTTCCCGCGCAGGGGTCCAAAACGCTCAAAGTATTTAGCCAGTACCAGGCTTTCCCGATAGACCCTAAACCCGAACTTGAAGGGCTCTTGTAGCGCCAGGATCGCAGGCGGCCCCATGCGCTATGACAGCCGGAAGCGCCAGGAAAAAGAGTACATATCGCAGGACACTGCCGGTGCAGAGCTTTTGGCTTTGGTGCCTTTGGGGTGGAGGGTTCAGGGGCTCAAGGTTGAGGGGTGTAGGGCGCTGTAGTTCTCGTAGGTTTCGTGCATACTTCGGCAGGGAGCTCCAGGCCGACGGGGCAAGAGCACGACGGTTTCAGAGTTCGGGATGAAGGGTCTGGTGGCGTGGCGTTTGCTTCAGGGTTGAAGCTGCCAGGGGCTTGTAGGGTGTAGGTTTTAGGATGCAATTGGATGGTTTAGGATTTTCAGGTGTTGAGGGTGCGGGACAGGGCCCAAGTACTATCACTTTGGAGGCCTTGTGGCAACAAAACTGGCCCGAGGGTCAAGATCATCTGATTGCTGATCGTAGGTTTATCGGGATCTAAGGATGATCTAGGCCACGAAACTGATTATTTTGGTTAATTAAGGCTTCAGAGGCTACTGCTCTGCTTCGCAGAGAAAGCTTCTACCCAGAGAGCCCTATACCCTATACCCATTAGTAAAGAACGCAATGATCCAGATCGTCAGACCGTCTTGGACTTGGGTATGCCCTCAGACCCAATACTTCGAAGCAGCAAGCTCCTCAGCTACCTTGCACCCTCCAAAAAACGAATAGGGTGTGAGTGTGAGAGTTTTGGGGTTCATGGGAAGCCGATCCATGAATTTCAGCAGGACTATTGGCTCTGTGAGCTGTGCTTGTTCGCTCATTGGGAGTGTCTTGGCCAGCTGGAGTGTCGTGCGCATGAGTTCTATTTCAGGTGCGTGCCCTGTAGAAAACAGTTGGACAAGTTGCGATATACGTGAAACACGAAGACGAGTGTGCTGGACTGTATGAACAACTTGCGCCACGCTTGCCGGAGCTTTTTGTAAGGTGTACAGCGCCAGATCAGGGTTCAAGCTTTGGGGTCGTTGAAGGTTTGGGGTTCAGGATAGACGGCTTCGAGTTTGGAATCATGCCTTTGCGACTCTTGGTTTCGTAAGCTCTGCAATAGTCTGAGAGTCCCTACCGTTGCTTTCCTGGAGGTTTGTACGTAATTGTCTTCTGTACGAGTTCGCCGATAAATTTCGAGTATTGGCGGGATACACGAAAATCCCTTACATCTGTGTTGTAGCATGTGGTGACGGCGGTATTGAATGCTTGGGAGACGACAGTGCCTCGTATTCTCTCCACTCAGCCCCGAATTCCAAAAACAAACTAAATTCCCCAGACGAAAGCCTACAAAACCTGAGCAACATTGCAAGTCTCCAAACCCCTCCCCGAAACCAATAGCCCACACGCACCCTTCAGCATCCCAGGATTGAGGCGTTTTAAAGACAGGGTGGAGTTACCTCATATTGAATGCGTTCATTAAACCCTATATGCCCTATACCCAAGACTTGTCTGTCTTTATAAGGATCCTCTAGTGGGTCTGTGCCTACGCACAAAAAAATCTGTGGGACGCTTTGCAATGTGATGCGGGATGATGCGCGCCACACGTCTGGGAAGACGGGAATAATTGGAGTACTTACGATGCTATGGCGCGCGCCAGTTTGGGGGGCATTTTTCTTAACAAGTTAGCAAATGAACAAATACAGCGCATGCCTAAACAAGTCTATATATCCGTGTCCCAAGCCCCAACCTCGGCCGTAGTGATTCGTGCGGCCTGTTGATTGAGGTTACTGCGGTTGTTTCTCACCCCTGCTGCTTCCTTTGCCCAGGTATCGTGGCAACCTCCAAGCCGACGGCGTTGTGCATTACATGGTGCTTTTGGGGCATTTTGGAAGTGGGGGGGGGTCGTTTAGACGTGCTTCGTTTTGTTTGGGCTTTCGGGGTTCATCGGGCTGAAGGTTAGGGTTGGGTTTTGGGGTTTAGGGGTCTGGAGGGGCTCGATTTGGGCCGCTTTTCAAGCTTGATTTGGGGTAATCCCTTGATTATCGGCATTTCATTAGAATCTCCTCTTCTGAGTTTCGGTTTAGCGTTTTGGGCTTCGGGCGTATTGGGTTAGCGTTCGTCCGGTTGCAATGCGTGCGCTTGAGACGATCAGGCCTTTTGAAAGTAGGTTTGCTTGGCTTGGGTTTCGGGTTTGGGATTTCGAGTTAAGGGCTTTGGAGACAAAGTTCGACACGCTGGAATTGAAAGAGAAGGGTATTGGGTTGACCATTCTTGAGCATCACCTGCGTGAAGTGAAGGCTTGCCATGAGTTGGATCCGACTCTGCGTGTCTATATTTCCAGTTCTGGACTCTATCCCCTGCCCATTCCAATTCATACAACCTAAACACTGAACTCACAGCAAGCTGCCTCTTTCTGTAAGTTCCACATTGAACATTAATTGTGCTTCATTGGCGCATCTTAATACTTGTGTATCAGGGTTTACATACAAACCTGGGTATAATTGGATGCTTAGAGTTAAAACCTAGCAAAGCAGTGGGATCAGCCCGAAACCGCTCCAAAGCCCCGAACCGCCCTTAGCCGTATATAAGACCAAGGATGAAATGTAAGCGCGGACGCACACCAGGCAAAACCACACCACACCACACCCTACCGTACCATACCATACCATACCATTCCACACCCCACACACACACACACACACGCAACAAGACAAGCAGCCGAGGTCGTCCACGGTGAGAGCTTCGCTTCCACGCTGGCGTTGCCCGGATGCTATACAGACTGTAGCACTGCAATCACGGTCAACTGATGGCGGACGGGGCAGCAAGACCATTACTTAGTTATCGGAACAACGTTGGCCTTTCTTTCGATTTGTGGTCTTTATAGCAAACTTGATTTTTGCTCCATACGGGTTCCTTGTGGGTGTTCCTTTAAAGGCGGGCCTGTTGATGAATCTTGGCTTTTACGAGGTGGCGTATCAAATCCATTCACCTCCTAGGTCCGAGCGGATCACGGGTCTTGGCCTCTGGGGGCCTTGATTAGGGCTCCTTCTGAAGAGGTCTATAAGGGTTACTATAAGGGATCTACAAGGGGACTACGTATAGTAATGCAGGAAGCTGATTAAGAAACCTTGGGGGTTTGTCCTCCGGCTTGGGTCGCAGAGTCTTGGCCACTGGTGGCTTGCGTTTCCCTTCTCTGGTGGTTGGGGGCCCTGAACCAGACTCCTCAGACTTCGGAGCCCCAAGCTGAGCTGCGACACGGAGGCCGACACCCTAAAACCCAAAACAAACCCTAAGGACCCCATGCCCTAAATCTCTAAGACCGCACAGACTGGAACCCCAAAGCCCTAAACCAACATCCTAAACTGCGATTTTACGGAGACGATACCGAGGCAAGCAGGTGGTGCCCTCTACCATCGGATGCGAACCATAGGTGCGCTGCAGGGGTGTTGGCGGCTTTCGAGTTTCGTGGTTCAGAAATCTAGTGCACCTTCCCTTTGGGATGTTCGGCTTTTAGAGTGCCAGCGGTGCGAAGAAGGTACGTAGTCCAGGTCCAACATATTGAATTCTTATGCTGAACACCGGCAGCCAGGCAAAATCATGAATTCCAAAACCTACTACTCCCCAGAGCCAAGACCTAAGCCCCCCAAACCCGTCAAGCCAATACAGCGTCAGCAAGTAGAAACCTTGTGGGTCCTACCCTCGTATCTACAGTAGAAGTTCAGTCACCCTATTCAGAGACCTTCTTGCTACGTCCCTCGTGATCATTCAGGCACACTTTTCGGATGTTTCAGCCCATGGCCGAAGCGCTAAACGGCCCCAAATCCTGAACCCTGCCCCGAAACTCTCAACCGCAATCCTCCAACCCCAACACAAAGTACGAAGCCAGGCCTTCTGTACGTCGCGACGGCGGAAGCCATGGACGAAAATCCTGCATCTTGTCTTCAGGGGGTTGCCATCTACGGTGTGTCTTAGGGTCTATCACTTGCTGAAGTTGAAACGATTTAGGGCGGTCGAAGTGGTTTAGGATTTTAAGCCTTGGCCTCTTGAACTGAACTTGGGCTTTTTAGGATTCTCTCGTTTGTGCATCTGGAGTCTGATACTTGAGGGCTTTGATTGGGCTTCCGGCCCAGCCGCCGTCATGATCTGGGACACTCGTGAACATGCATGGCCTTAATACTCAGAACAGGGTTTTGGGGCCCATTCTACTAAAATTATACCTAGGAACCCCAAAACACTAGTGGTAATTATTCAGGCCCCTACATCATCGTTCGCCGTGCTGTAGGCTCAGCCTGTGGCCTGACATTCTGAAGCCCAAGGAACTTCAAGGACCACAGGGCCTAGCAAGAAGGTTTGCATGCTACTAGTATGGCTGGAATATCTCAGTGTTTATAGCTTAGCTAACCGACTTGCTCCTCTTTAAGCTGAGCATTCAGGCTGACGCTTTTGTTTATAGCTTAACAAAACGACTTGCTCCTCTAAGTAAGCCAAACGGCCTACATAGTACAAGGTCGGTGTGCTGATGGTCGCCCTTCGGGTTCCTTATGATCGTTGTGCATGAACCTACCCCGAAGGCCTTATTCTACTTGCTGTTTATATCTAGGAGACTTTTTTAAGAACCCTGTCAAGTAATCCCCTAAACTCTAAACTCTAACTCCTAAGGCCTAAGAAACGCTCAGGAAGTCGCTGGGCCTTTGACTGACCTTGCCCTGCCGAAGCAGCAAGCGCTGGACTGTCTTTTTGGGGCCGTTTGGGGTTTCGGGTTAAGGGCTAAGGGTTTCGGATTGAGGTAAGGGGTGGTTTAGGGGTTTGGGTTTGAGGGTTACGACCAGCTGGACTCTGACAGAGTTGCAGGGGTGTAGGCAAGGCGCTTAGGATTTTGTGTGGGCCCTGATTAGCAAATCTCCTTAAGCTCGTAGGCGCCGATCTTATTTACACAGGTCTAGATTGTGCCTGAGTCCACCCTAGCTCACCGTTATGCATTATGGTAGCAGGGTCCACTGGCCTGCGGCTGTAATCGGACTCCGTTTCATTACGTTACCGACATGGTGGCAGGACATCTCAAGTCGCGCCCGTCAGTTCAGCGACTTGCGCCGATCTCAGGAGCAAGCCGGGAGCACACTGCGATCGTATATAACGGTGGCCAGTATCTACAACGACAGCCTTGCAAGGATGGTGTAACCCACAGGAACGCAGACCGGCCGTAGGCATCGCCATAAACGGCAAAAGCCCAGTGGCGATATCAGCCAACGCTTTCAACCTTAAACCGAGGCCCTCGAATTTCAGAAACCCCAACATGCAGAAACCCTTATGCTCCTAAATCCCACAACAAAGCCAGAGCCCCCGAAAGATGAGAAGAGTCCTAAACCACATTCGACGCTCTTGATGTGATGAATTTCTTGTTGCAATCTTAAGGAGTAGCGCTGCTTTTTATGCTGGCCCCGAAGGAAGGTACATGCTAGCTGCTAGCTTTCGGGTTCCATGGGGGCTTAGGTCTTGTACACCAAGTACAGAGTGCCTAGCACGGGGAGAACTGTAGTCGTGTTCTGATTTTCACAGACAGTTGGTTTGCTTCTTGGAGGAAGCTATGGCTGGTTGCTGTGCGCACTCATCCCTTCATTCCCGGCCCGAAGCCCCAAAGCACTGAATTCACCCACAGCACGTAAGAACCAACTCTGTAGACCCCAGAGATCTAAAGCCGCCGAAGCCATCAGGCAACCTGCTCGTAAGCGGCTGGGTAGTATTTTTGGTCCGTCCGTTGCTGCTCCTCGCCGGGTGGCCCAGTCCTTGCTTTTCAGAAGACTCATGGGTTTGGAGCTTAGCGTTATGTTTCAGTGTGCGAGCTGTAGCTATCGCTTTTTGCAGTTCGGTGTTACACACGCTCTTCGATGGGGGCTCGAGTTTCCGCTCTTCTCTACAGCGCACGGCTGTGGTC